CAAATAAAGTCTAATGTTACAACTAACTGGGGATCCCTTTAAAATAAATCCTGCATTGTGTGTACACCTGTCAGCTGAGCGTACTGGCTGAAGAGCTGATGTGGGCTGGGCCCAAGCAGAACCATGCAGTCTATCACACCACTCTCTGACAGCCAGTGGACGTCAGTGTGAGGCTGAACACGCCTCCTTTTCACCTGGGGTGTTCGCTCATCCTATAGGAAAGACAATTTGATTGTGCTGGATAGTTTTATGATTTACTAACTGAATTTTAGACACAGTTTTATAGCTTATACTTTGTGATTAAGATCAGTCGTATTCATTTATTTCAAACAGTAAGAGAACCAACAAATCTCTATTTAATATGTGCCTTGCTTCAGTAGTATAAACACAATTTACAAGGCAAGTAAAATTTAAGACCAACTTCACAATAAACACAAATGGAGAAAGAAAAAAACAGATGGCAACAATTTTGGCCCAATGTTTAGCTGCTAAAGGGATTTATTTATTTATAAAGAAAAATGTTAACAATTCTTTTAATATTGGAGATAAATTACAATCATCTTACTTACAATGTACTAACTTGTTTGAGACCTGTGAAAGACCATTTAAGACATTTTAAGGCTAATTAAGGGCTTATTTTTGGATTCATAAATTCAATGCCTTTTAAGACTTAAGTCTTAAGTCTTAGACTTMAGGATCTGCATGAACCCTGATTTTAAGCAATCCAATGCTGACATAAACGGGACCACCGTTTTCCATAAATATTATGCAAACATGTGATCGGCAGCTACTTTGTTCAGATCTCCGAAGCCACAGACAGGCTCGGAGTGAAATGAAGTTTTAAGAACTGAAAATAGACATCAGTCTTCTGCATATTATTCGGGCTTCCAATCTGACCAGTTCTTTACTGTAGGAAATAGATTAACAGACATGGCAGATTTATCCCAAAGTTCACTGTGTTTTTACTAAAGTTACATTTCTTCATTTTCACTTTATATAGTCAATGCTAATAACAACAGTTACTGTTTGTTTGGATTGGACCCAAACCASTACTGAAGTGAGATTACCTGATGGTCCACAGGAGACTGATGTATGTTTACAAAAGTCTCTGATGCATTCAGCCAAAATACACCAATAGTTCTGTTTGGTTCATGAGCCAGCATCAGTGGTACGGATCCATACAGGCCCAGACGGCTGTACAGCTCGTAGGCAAAAACATCCAAGTTGTACAACCGGTAAGGTTCACCCTCTCTGTGGAAGGAAAGACAGATTCATAATAAATGCTACGAAAAACAACAGAATCCAACAGAATTTAGGCAGAAACTACTTCATTAAAGTAAAAAATATATAAAATGAGGATATACTTGGTGTCCCTGAGCTGCAGTTTGTCCGAGTGTTCTGGTATGCCATAGACGTGTCTGAACCCATGAAGGTTGAGGTCTGCACCGATGCTGCTCGGACCTAAAGACGGCACAACAAATATGTTTTGTACAGAGGTAGGATTCTTAATTATTTTGTGAAARTATAAGCATAAGCAACAATAAAGCAGAAAAAAGTACACAAACAGATACGATAAACAAAAATAAATGGCATAAGAACATTTTACTTTTATTTTGAAGTAGGGCTGCCATGATTAGTCGACTAGTCGAAGACTAATCGACTATTAAAATAGTCGATGACTAATACCACAGTCGATTAGTCTTTTTTTTTTTTTTGTTACTTTGTTGTTCTCTCCAAACTGTTTTGACACCTTCCACTGCTGCATCTGCCTTTCTGTCCTTGACACACGTGCGCAGTACTGGTAACTGGGGTAGGCCATGGACGTCACAAGACCACCCGCTTCAGATGTTATCATCCATTAAAAGGACATTATTAGCCGTTATCAGTCCCATAGAATGGCTTCAGACTGCCAGCTGGTTAGTATGACGCATAATGCCACTAAGATTAATTTTAGAGAAAATGACATGGGCTACGATAAAGTAGACCGGACTTTGGCAGTAGCAGCTTGTTGCATTCCAACATATATGGCACTGGTAACCCACTAGGGGGCACAGTCGGTAGGCCTGTCACAATAACAAATTTTGCTGGGCGATTAATTGTCTCACAAATTATTGCGATAAGCGAAAAATATTGCCTGGTGAGCATTTTATAACTAATAATTATAAAAGCGTAATATGTAAGTGTAATAAATCAATAAACTTTAATTTTTAAAGAATATTTAACAAAGTGGACTCTCAGTCTCTAACAAAAAATGCACCTGAATTAAAAACAACAACAAAGAACAACAAAATATAAATTAAACACCACACACAACTAAGACAGTAAATAAACAATATTAAAGARCAGCATCTCTTTAGAGATGAAGCAAACTACACAGCCTGGTGAGGACCCACTGTTTCTTATGGGGACATAAGCCCAGTTCACATCCCATGTAAAGTGTAGGCTAGTTTTAGGGTCAAATGGTAATAGAAAATACTGGTAAATGAATGAAAGTCAATGCAAAGTCCCCATGAGGATAGAAGAACAAACGTGTCTATGTGTGTGTGTGAGGAGGGGACAGTCAGTGAGGAGACAAGCAGAGCGCTGCGGGGGAGGAAATCAGACAGTTCGGAGTTTTCCTCATGAGTTGTTGGGACAGCTACAGGTTTTTTGAGTGTTTTGTTAAAACACAGATGGTGCGTTTAAGTTTCCTGTTATTTTTGAGAGCTACAGGTCAAGTCTTGACGAGTTTGTCGCGGGTTTGGGGGAGTTTCAGCCCCCACCTCTTCTCCTCCTCTCTCTCTCTGTGTCTCCCCGCAGCGAAATTCAGGCTCTAGGACACTGCAGCAGCCGCGTTCTGCTTTGAAACGTTTCTTTAGTTTGTTATTGCTACGAGCTCTCATGCTAAAGCGAGAGTTCACTCCTCCCGACACTAAGAAAACAGGAGGGGAGGAGTCAGCTGAGCTCCTGTGTAGCGGAGCACAGAGAGGGAGAGAGACGAAGTAAACCAACAAGCAGGAAAATGAAACTTATCGGCCTCATTTTTTTACCGACCTCAAWGACTATTGCGACAGGCCTAACTGTCGGGACAGTCTGACGCCATTCTATGGGACTGAYAACCGCTAATATTATCCATTTAATGGACTGATGACATCCGAACTGGCTGACAAGACATTATACAGACAGGCTCTGGAATCATGGCTACCCGGCAACGGAGCTCAAAAGTGTGGGATCATTTTAAGAAAACGAAAGAGAAACCTGTGCAATATCTGCAGAGCAGAACTTGCCTTCCACAGCAATTATTTTTAGTTAGCATATAGCTAAAATTTAACGCTTTGATGTCTTTCTTGGTCTACCAGTACACTTGGCTTTAACAATCATTCCATGCTGTTTGTATTTGGTCCATTTCTTGGATACAGCTGACTGTGAACAGACCACATCTTTAGCAACCATGTGTGAAGAGTTACTTCAAGAAGTTTCACAATCCTCTCTTTTGTTTCAAGAGACATTTCTCTTGTTGGAGCCATGGTTCTTGCCACTCCACTTCGTCCAGCAGCCCTCCAAGGTGTCATGACTGCAGGTGTTTTTAACTGCAGACTAACGAGCAGATCTAATCTGAGGCAGGTGTCCATTTAGGGAAAGGAAATTGACTGGGTGTGTCCTTATTTTCTACCTCCAGTTTGAGTGATTCCATAACTTTTTCCTCAGAATTGAGTAATTCCATATTTTTTTCCCTGTGCTTGGTCAATAAAAGTAACATTCACTGACTTCCACGATGTTTTCTSTTCATTTCTTTGAGTGTTCCTGAAAGCCAWCAAGTTGCACTTTGGAATGACCTTATTTTTGTATCATGTTTTTGATTTGAGTTTGTTTTACAGAATGAAATGTCTGAATGAGTGCTCATCCAAGACTGGTGATTCCATACTTTTTGCCAGGGCTTATATAATAGCAGCTGCATTCTGGCGCGATAATCTGTATGTTTTATATTCAATTAACACATGATCCAAATTAGTCGACTAATCGAAAAAAATAATCAGTGATTAGTCAACTATAAAAATAATCATTTGTGGCAGCCCTATTTTGAAGACAGGATTTGGAATTTTGAAATTATGAACCAAATATTTTTGTTTGTTTTTTTCTCTGAAAAACTTTTTCAGACTTTTTATCTCTAGCAATTCTTCTATGGACATCGCCATTGTTGACCAACTTTCAGTCACTTTGGCTGTTTTCGTAGAMAAACAGTTGGCAGCTGGTCACAAATTTTGATGACAGATTTTTAATTTAAGGCCATGTTAAGGTATCGGTACAAGCAAAATATTGTAGATTTTGTTGGTTACTTCATAAATTAGTTTTGACTGGTCTTTATGAYACTGCAATGAGTAACTGTGACATTTTGATATAAAACATCACATATGCAAACAATAAAGTAGGCACAAACCATTAGCCTTTATATCCACAAACTTCTGGAAAGTTTCCTTCCATAAAGAACTTGTCTCATCCTCTTCATGCTGAAACAAAAGCAGGAAAGAATAAATTAAGACCAGATTAAAGTGCCTGTGACATGCCTATCCTTCAAGTATAAAAAGTCAAAAAATATCTTTATACTTAAGAAAATTGGCATAATACACATAATTTTACCCATTTTGTCACATAACTGGCCTATTTTCATTTGAATTTGGCTCAGCCAAAGTGAAACAGGAAGTGACATCAAAGGGGAACTCATTAATAAAATAAACTTGCTGTCTCTGTTTATTAAAACAAAATTATTTAAACTTGAACTCTTCGTCTCTCTTCGATAGCGACTAAAAAATAATCTATAGAAACAGAATCTTCTCTACAGTCTGTGTTGTTAGCTTTCGTAACAACACTGTTTACATGCTGACATTCCCCTTTGACATCACTTCCTGTTTCTTCACATGCAAATATCTCAACAACTGTTCATCTAAGCAACGTGATATTTGTTTTGCAATATTTTATCAATGTTMTCATTCCAAAAATGCATTCATGTTTATTACAAAAATTTGATGTCACAGGCACTTTAAGATTCAAGRGCAAAGTAAAATATTCAGTTTTCTCATTACTGTCTTACCTCACTGCCATGTGATGAAGCCCTGAGGAAGAGAACAAAATAAAAAATATATGTAAAATGAATGAAAAAGGATCATCTGTTCTGTCAATAATCATCTTGTTCCAACAAACCTCACCTGGGAGGATCCTGGAGTCTTTCAAACCACAGCTTGTCTTTAGAGTTGAACGTGACCACCACTTCACGTTCGCACAGGATCTCGAGTCGGAAAGGGAAGCACCACACACAGACCTGGTAATGTCCTGAAGACCAAGAAAGGGTGACAGAATCCTTAGTCCGTCTCTCCACTCTCAGTCTGTCCAATGAGAGACAAAAAGATCAGCTGATGTTCAACGGCTACAACTGTCACAGAGAAAAAAAGACGTGAAAACTAACTAATCAATTTAGATTTAGGATTGAAAACTGTTCTTGTAAATAAAATATGTATTTGATGCATCAGAGTATCAGAAATATTACTACCACCAAACCTAATTTTAGCTCAGTATCTATTAAACCAGCTGGTTTATAACCATTTTTGCGTTTCCGAAGTTTAGTTTTTGTGGCGGCCATCTTGAATTTGGTTAACTCCAACAATTCACCGTTTGTCACCTACATAGACTTGAATAAGAACCTCCATGGTCACCTAACATAACACCCCCACCTTTTCCTCTGTTCCAATAAACACAAATCTGCAGCATTAAATAGTCATMAAAAAATGTGAAGTTAGAGAAACACCTGGGAATGCAGGAGAGGATTTGAATCCCTGCCTGAGTACTGTAGAAACTGTAACGGAAAGATGATGCTGATGTRTTTCTTACTGTTCACTTTGAGGTTCTTCAGTCATCACATCTGCAACTCTGTATCGAGCTTTAATGGGCTGCAATTCATCTATTAATATCCTTACAATACCAYGTTTGCAAGCTGACAAAGACAGAAGCAGTCTGGTCTGTAGARAGAAGGGAAATAGGAGACAGTTAAAGAACACAAAGTGTGTTTATTCTTCTTATATTACGACTCCAATAGGATTAACATAGGTTCAGCAGTTTGGTTTATTGCCAGGAATTTGGAAGTTTTGTATTTTATTGAAGTCTACAACCTTACTTTTTCTATTTACAAACCCCCAACTTGTCATGTTTGTCCAACTTTCCATCAAAGTTATATTAAATGTACATAAAAATATATCATAAGCTTTGCGTAAGACTGACCTGTGTGTTCAGCTCCAACAATTCAAAGTGTGCACCCTTCTCTGTGAGGACCATGGTGTCCAGCAGGGCTCGGTGCTTCATGCTGGGACCCTGCATCTGTCGCCTCAATAAGTCACAACATTGGCAGATTGCTTCGGTGAATATTCTGTGCACCAACGCATTTCTGCTGCACCGATCATGCTGGACACACTAAATCCACTTCATCATGTGCAGCTAAAAAACAACACCTTATTTCTTACTTAAAAAATGCTTAACGTACCTGTAAAAAGCAACATCCTCACTATTCTTGAACGTTTCCTTCTTCTCATCGTCGAGAACCACGCTGAGGACCAGGTGAGAAGAAAACAAAATAATAAAAATAAAAAACAGACTCAAACACTCTGAAGCCAATACCATTTTTCTACTTGCAAAGTACGAGTCTTAAAAAGTTAAATTTCCCAGACCAGTTCAACTTACTCCACATGTGAGCCATCACATCAACCCTGAGGATTTAAAGGAACAGGCAGCTGTAGTGTTTTAGTTAAAACGTTTGCAACAATTACATTTYGTCAAAATGTAATGAATAAATACTTTATCTACAKGTTGTTTAGATGAAATAYAATCTGAAATATTTTAAGCCCTTAGAGCAGTAGCAACAAAAAACATGATTTTGAGCATAAAAATCTTAACTTTTTGTCATTTTCCCTGTGACCCAGCAAAAGCTTTTTTCCCTACAGCTGTTTAATCCTAATATCCAATTATTGTTTGTGTTTTCCTCTTTAAAATATCAAAAATCCTCATTAGAATAACCTAAAAGTATAATTTAGATGAAATTTTAATGAGCTGTCCTGATTAACAAGGCAAAGCAAGGCATATTTCTGAAACCTTTCATATCAGGATTATCCACGTGTCAAAATGTTGCTTAAAAAAGCAGAAATCTGAAAATGTGCTGAGGCCATTTTGACCAAATTTGACCTCAGTTTGCTGTGATAGGTCACATACATACATGCACAAATACCTCATTAATTAGAAACATAACATTTCTTGAAGGAATGCATATCACCCACCACTGCTACAATCTTAAAGACCCTGTCACATTATACCATTTCAGACAACTTCTGAAAAGTTTATCCAGCTCTAAAGATGTCTAAGCTGAAGATAGAATTTTTAAAAAAAATCTACTGGAAGCCTCTTTTGGACCCATTTATACTGTAATGTTAATACAGTCGATATGAGTAAAATAGTCATAACAAAATGTTCATAATTTGGTATAAGTTGTGTAAAACATTACAGTGTGACAGGCCCTTTGTGCTGAGAAATGAGAATTGCAGCTGAAACCTAGAGGAAGTGTGAACATGTGATTTATCACCGGATGTAGCTAAGAAAATATGTTGATCTCAGCTACCTCACCAAATTTTGTCTCAACATATATAAAACAGATTTATAACCACTTTTGTAATTTAGCTGAGATGGACATCTTTATTTGGACCGACTCTAATGCTTGATCAATTGTAATTTATTTAAGGTGCAGTTTTATTAAAACCCACCCAGTGGTTCATGAGATATTTTGCTAACAGACAAACTGTGTTGACCGACTGACTGCGCTATGAATGACTTTAATAAACACTTAATTTTAAAATAATATTTATAAAAAATTGCTTTTCTGTCATTTTTGAATCTGTCTCTAAATTATTTTGGCTGTGTCGGCCATTTTGAATCACGTGCACTCCAAAAGACTATGGGACATTCAGAGGTTGATTTCGCCAAATGTCATTAAAACGCATTATCTGGTTCGTGAAATTAGACTAATTTGAGATATTTTGCTAACAGACACGGGTAAAAAACGATCTTCTGACTCGCCTGTTTCGGTGGTAGCAGATAAGGAGCATAAAAACACATCCTTTTCACAATGCAAACAAACTATATATCCTGTCATACATTTTGCCAAACAATTTAATTGTGGAGTCTGGAGTAAAGTGTCAGATGTTGTGTGCTCATTGTCTCGAGCTTGTTTCATACAGGAAATCTCAAAGGTCAATAAAAAAAGTCAACTTGTCGCAGAAGAAACACCGTAAAAACCGCGTATTTATACCTAGAAACGGGCTGACTCTCTTCCGCCATTTCAAACAAACGCAGACAAAAACCAAAGCCGTTTACAGTCGTGCCTTTAGTAAAGTAAACACTACTTGACTGAATATTACTGCTACAGCTTCAGCAGTTGCAGGAAGTGACTGCATCCAATCGAAATCGAGTCCGCGACAACCAGCCTCACTTCCGGTTAGGATTTTCAAAATAAACAGCTTTTGCAGCGCAGTGGTGGTGCATCCTAAATTTATTCAATTTAGCATAATAGTTGTTTGTTTTTTTCAAGCAGCTGAAAACAAAAAACAACAAAAATAAGTTAAACTGTGTTTTCCTGAGTGGGGTGGACAGTCTGTATTTATAATAAAAAACATTTTATACTCGTTAAAATTAAATTAGACACAGAGACAAACATCTCAACCATCAACTCTGACTCACACTTGAGGACATTTTAGACATGTCAGTYACAGTACAAGTTTTTAGTCTGTGAGAAGACACTGGCGAAAGAAGAAAACGCATCTTTATATTAAACCAAAACACTCCAGAGGATGTCTTCAAACTGTGTTGTTTGTCTCCCTCTGGTGGAGAATGACCGAAACTACATGGGAAAACCAGCCGGACCTGGAGGCGGATTTGAGACTGACCTGTAGTAAAAATTTCAAGTGAAGATGCCAGATGCTGCGGAGCTTCTGTCATGTTTGCTGCTTCTASCTTCGGTTTTCCACGTCGGGAGAGCGGCGGAGGTTTCTGTGTGGAGCGTGAGCATCAACTCCTCGGTCAGTCGGTGTTGCACCTCCAAATGGAGACGTTTTTTGCACATATTGCATAGCCTGCTGTGCTAAATCTTCAGCAGGTGGTAGCAGAGGAAGCTAGCTAGCCACTAGCATACCTCTCGGTTGGAAGAGCCACCTGTCATGAACACTTAGGACGCTTTTAGTCGGGCTAAATGTGGTTCTTTATAACTCCATGTTAGGTTCAAAACGATGTCTTATTGCATAATGGTTTTAGTTTTATTTTAGATATCAAACTGATATAATGTTCCTCGAAAGTAAAGATAATTCTGTAATGTTATAACACCATTTGAAGAGTGTTTTAAGTGGGCCTGGTTGTTATGATGTGGCATGTTATTTGTAGGGATTAGCAGCTGATTCAAGAGTGGTTCAAGGACCTGAGATTAATGTATTACTTTTTTGTTTGATGTGGGAAACGGTACAAAAAACCTCCCCAGATTAAGTTTTAGAATAGAATAGAATAGAATAGAATAGAATAGAATAGAATAGAATAGAATA